GAGTTTTGTCCTACATTAATAGCCTTAAATCAAGTTGCACAGAACAGCGAACTTGTAAAATCGTTTAGATTTGGACTGGAAAATGAGGAGTTTATTTTTAGTAAAAAAAGTTGTAAAAATTATATACACCATTTATGTATAACTCATGAACGGCTGAACCGATTTGGCTGAAAATTGGTGGCGACGTAGCTTAGGACCAGGGTCAGGACATAGGATATTTTTTTTTTTGTTTTTATAAATACGAAAATTAAATTATAAATCATAAGCATTTGTTCAAAGTTCATGTAAGAATCATTTGAAATTTTTAGTTATTCTAAAATGGAAAGAAATAAGTAAAAATTTGCATATCCATACATGCTTATAATATGAGTTATWCTAATTTTGCTCCTGAACCAGGCAGTTTTTTAAGGGCGAAAACGTTAGGTATGTATATTTAATATTACAAGAAAAAATGGCATTGAGTTTTTCGTCGGCAAGGCATTGCGGATACTTTGCCAGATTATGGGCGAAGGACACAACTGCATTCATAGCAAACCAAATATCTAGCATAAAAATATAGCGGAATAGCTGAAGTGTTGATATGAAGGTCTGTTATAATTTGAGATAAACTGAAATATTTTCGAAGCATTGCAACGAGCAGTGMAATATTTAAACGGGAACGATGAAGTATATGCGTACAATTTCAAACTGACCTTTCCTAAAATATAATAAAATTGCTAAATATTGCGAATGGTGGAATAGAACTGCAACAAAATACGCAGTGCAATGGATTAAAACTGACTCAGAAATCAGCCCAAACACACAGCCCAAATTCAATGCTTTATTAACGCACGAAATGCTTTTTGATTCATTTCTTTTGTAAACTAACRSRAGTTACCAAAAATGCTWTATCTCCTAAACTAAAAGTCATAATCTAAATAATAGAAGTCATATATGAAGATAGTATTAGGAGTACTACGTATGTAACAGCCATCGTAAAACGTGGCCGGGTCCTCAATAAAAAAAAAGCTGGTCGATACTTATGCCGAATTTGTCAGCCAGTGTATGAGTTATATAGAGTATATGTAWGTAAGTCATCTATGTAGATATGTATATAAAATTGCTTGGACTCCGATCCTCTGGTTGACACTTTACATCTTAAGGGGGTGGTATGGTAAAAATTTTTCAAAACATTGAAAAATATTATTTTGCTGTTTTGATTTCGTTAAACCTTTAATAATAATATAGAAATCTTGTTTTGATTCAGATGGTAACGGAAAGTTTTTAAAAATGAGATCCGCCGGAAGGCGTCGTGGCTATCTTGTCTATCTAATCTCCTATAATCGCATTGTTAAAAGATGTTTGACAACATTTTGACACAATTCATAACAAAAAAAANTATGTAACAGCCATCGTAAAACGTGGCCGGGTCCTCAATAAAAAAAAAGCTGGTCGATACTTATGCCGAATTTGTCAGCCAGTGTATGAGTTATATAGAGTATATGTAWGTAAGTCATCTATGTAGATATGTATATAAAATTGCTTGGACTCCGATCCTCTGGTTGACACTTTACATCTTAAGGGGGTGGTATGGTAAAAATTTTTCAAAACATTGAAAAATATTATTTTGCTGTTTTGATTTCGTTAAACCTTTAATAATAATATAGAAATCTTGTTTTGATTCAGATGGTAACGGAAAGTTTTTAAAAATGAGATCCGCCGGAAGGCGTCGTGGCTATCTTGTCTATCTAATCTCCTATAATCGCATTGTTAAAAGATGTTTGACAACATTTTGACACAATTCATAACAAAAAAAACTACTGCACTATTTGTTTATTTATCAATGAATTGTTTCACTCGAGAGTCATGAGATAGCTAATTATATTTACTTTAAAATAAAATGTATCCCGATCGTTTCAGATCATCCASAATGGAAAATCGTGGGTAACACTTTTAAAGATGGCGTCTTTCGGTCACCCATTTTTCCACCGGATATCAAGAAAAAATTTTTCTTGTTCTATATTACATGTAGAATAACATATTAAAACCTGAACTCTCTTACCCCCGTAAGGTATTTCCAAGGGTGTGGTTATTGCAAGTTGCAAGAGTAAAAAGTKTTCGGTTGGACCCCAACTTAGACTTTTCTTACTTGTATCAAATATTTTTCATAAAATAAGTCYTTAAATGAGAAAAATCGGAYCGAGKGTTTTAATAKTTTTGTATAACTTTTTAAAACGATAGGCATACATACATATGCATATACATATGTATATACATATTATGTTTGTCTTTATCTACATACTATCTAAATAATAAATTGGAGAAATAACTACATATTGTCGTAACAGATTAAAAACATAAATTCGTGAAAAATTATTACATATGAACATTTTGTATGTAGCAACACATATGCATGTACTTGTATATGTGTGTATGTATATGGTATTTTTGTAATCATTGTGTTATTACCACATGCTCTCACCAACTAAGCTCGAGAGTTGCGCAAAAATTCGCTATCAACTCTCATTTTCCGATCGCTACCGAAGCGTTTATATGGCGAAAGAGAAAAATTAGAGGAATTTGCTTTCTTTTTGAAATTTATTGATAACGAAATGTGCCATCAAGCACATAGGCTTTACATTAATGTTTGTATAAACAAATGTTTCTAATTATATGTATGTATGTACATAATTACA